GAAACTAGATGCATGACAGGTTGCTTAGTGAATGTTAAAAACAATACTAATGATCTTGTTGAATGGTTCCAATAGAAGACAACTGTAGGCCATCCTTTAGTTTTGCCAAAATAAACTTATCCATACCGAAATGCCGTGGTAAGCTGACCCATTCTTGCATAATGCCGGCTTCACTATTTATTTAAAAAAAACTTATGCCTTTTATCATAACAGCACTATGATTATACATGGGTAGCAGCTAAGAAGAAATATACATTAGTGGATGAGTTATATGACGAATAATGAAAATCCTGCATTTTACTTAACTACTATGAATGAATCTAGTATATAACTCTGTGTGTGCATGGTGGGGGGTCTCTATATATATGCAAAAGAAAGACAATGGGTGGCATTGAAGGCATGGAACTTAAATCACACATATGTTGACACAAGTATGATTAGTATAGGCAGTTCAAAGCATGACTCTATGGGGCTTAGTTCACTTTCTGCATCGAATGAAAATATCATTTTGATTGATAGATAGTCTAGTCATTTTGTGGAAAATCAGGAATGACATCCCGAAAGACTGATATTGAATCTGGTGAGTAACAGTGTTTTTTAATGCAAGTAAAAGGTGAGCAGTTGAGCCATGAGCCCATGATATGTGAATATTGAAGCCTGAGTATGTGCACATTGGTTGACAACAGGCCTGCATCAGTGATTTGATCACATACGGTGAAATGTTCTCTAGGGCATATGTCTGATAAACATTAATTGATACGGTTTATGTACAATCAGAATAACAATAAAATAGTTAGTAGACAAGGAACCATAAGAAAGATGGTGATGGTCTAATGAAAAACAAAGCAGCATGCTGAGAGACATTTTAGACTCTTTTGAAGAAAAGATATGTAGATCAGTTTGAAGCTAATGACTTTAGTTGATTCAGATATAACATATTATCAGTTGAGGTGTCAAAAAAAGATGTTGGTTCGTAGTTTCACACATAGAACACCATCTCTCACCCGAATCCTAGATTTATGAGAGTAATTGATTCATGAAATGCAAACAGTGCCTTAGATAATTGTACCAACAACGTAATGTGCTAAAGTAAGAAGTATTATTTTTTTGAGGGACAGTAAGAAGTATAATTATCAAGTGATGTAAATATTACATCATAATGTGAGAAAGTAAGAAAGGTAATTTACACCATTATAGTTTGGTCAAGTTTCTCTGCACATTTCGGGATGCTCTGCAGCTCATGTGGTTAAGCATAAAACAAACTACACTACATAGACATGATATACATCTGAAATAGAAGTGGAGACTACAAGAAATATTAGCCTAAGAAAAATTACATGGATCAAACAGAGAATTTAGCAGTTACTACAGGGTTCAAGTGAAATGCACTTGCTACCTGCACATTTGAGCATACAGCGAGAGCCCTCAGCTAAACTAATTGTAACCACTCACCAAGATTCAGACATAGGTAAAAAAAACTGGCAGATGAAACAACAAACAAGTGACAACACTTCATGTGAAACCACTATTCCACCAATTAAAGGGCTACCAGTTAATTACCTCGGGTAAATTCTGACATGTTTTGCTGCTTAATTTACATCACAAGTTTCAGTTAACAAGGCACAAAAAAACAAAACTATGTAAGTTATTACGTGCAAAATTCTGGGCAATATTGTTCTGCAAATCCCCTGACTTCAACCAACTGATATAACTAAAATGGCCCCCTTTAAAAATGTCCAGTGGAAAGGACATAAATTCCATGCATCAGGTCAAGACTAATGGACACATTGATCTTCCCCCTATATGTCAGTAGTTTTGATCTCCTACGGCTTATATAACCATGGAATTACCAACCACATGATAAAAATAATGGGCATCTCCATCAGGTGGGCTCACAGCAGAGAGTCATCGAACTCATCACTGTTATCACTGTTTTTAGTTTCTCTAATGCTATGGAAAGAACACACAACATTCAAGCTCTCACGGAACTACAGCAATCTATCCCAATCTTGTTGTTGAGTAGGTGCAACATGCTTAGCATACTACCAGAACTCTGAACATTTAACAGTATATCAGCATTTTCATAATTGTAACCACCCTAGTCCATCCCCCAAATTGCCAGATCTTCATTGATAAACATGATGCCACACCATGAAATTGTACATATAGGCTGGTCTCTACTATTGAAAATACTAATAAAAAAATTATAAGGAAAGTACTAGTAATTTCTGCATCCATGGGAGCTGAACCAGGTGGTGCTGGAATTACTTACTGATGCAGCCTGGAGGCTCATGTGAATCCATTCCAACTGAAATGAGAGCCATTATCCAAACAGCAGCCTGAGCCGTTTACTGATGACAAAAAACATGAGCCTCTCGCGAAGTCAGGATCTCTACACCTGACAAGCGCACGCACACGCTGCACATTGCAGCCTAAACCCTAAGGGGACATTCGGTTATCTAGGAATGGAGGCAGGAACCAATCCAACTGATGAATTGTTATACAAATTACTTCATCATTCCAGTTGGGAATAATTCCAGAGCATGGATCCAAGACAACCGAACAAGCCCTAAACCGAATTTAAACCCGATAAATCTACGGCCTCCCTCGATCATTGTTGGGGTACAGCATTTGTTTGACAAAAGCACTATCTAACACCACTGTTCACCCGCGATTTCAGCTATGATTCAGACAACCTGATCGGATCATCGGAGCATGCCGTAAGGGAGAGATGTGGAGGAAGGATTCCGGCGCACCTTGTCCAAATAGGGGGCGTATCTGCTTGTTGGAATTTTGGAGAGGGAAAATTGGTTTCATAGCACCGAAAGAACGCGAGATTCGGAAAATACCATCAAAAGTTCATCGTATCGTACCGCGATCTAGCACTCTGTTACTTTTGCTGTCAACGCCGTCTATTGGCATCCGTCCGATGACTCCACTTGACTAAAAACGCCATGGGAGGACGTGGAGAATAACCTGTACGTCGCATCAACCTGGGAAGGCCGCCTGCAGTAGTAGAGCCTCATCATAGATTCCTAGGGAGCTCGGAGCTCAAGCCCGGCGCCTGTCCTTGACTCCGACGATGTCGCCGAGCACTCTAGCACCGACACGCGCTACGCCACCGGAGCCGCGCTCGCCCCGGTTCGCCAAATGCCGCCGCCGCTGGAGCTGTGCTGCACTAGCCAGCGACTCCGCCCGCAGCAGCCAAATGCCGGAGCTCGGCGCCATGGGCACCAGGGCCTGCCCGCCGCCACCCTGTTGCCCGGAGCTCCCCGCACTTAGCCGAGTGTGGTCAGCACGGAGCACCCATGCGTGTTGAAGCCGACGCCATGCCGGAGGCCGGAGCTGAGCGCCACCGGCACCAAGGCAGTCACCGCTGCCGCTCGAGAAGGGGCAGAAAGCCCGTGAACGGGAGAAGCCGTCTGGGCACCGGTAGCCATCTCCATCCTCTCCCATCCCGTGCGCTAGGCAATTGGCAAGCAACGCCGCTTCTACCGGCAAGCAGGCCATGCCTGCAGCGCACGAGCACAAGTCGCCGCAGTGCCAAGCACTGCGAGTGCCAAAGACCGCCTCCGCCGTCGCTCGTGAGGAAGCAGCCGAATTGGGAATCGCCGGAGCCGCCTTGCCTTGACATGTCGTGATCCGCCCTGTCAGCCACCACCGTCTACGATCCAGCAATGGACTGGATCTCCAGAGCCTGGTGTGTGGAGGCGAGAGTCTTAGGGACCTTGAGAGATGACAGGCCTTTTAGTAGATTCTTTTTTTTTTTTGCCTTCGATGAGCGGAGGTTGGAGTGGATTTTTTTGCCTTTATTAGATGGACGGAGATCCACCGTGCTGACGCCGTTACCTCAATACATAACGGAATGCTATTTTTAAGTAACAGTTCTATCTTTTGATGGTATTTTACATAACAGAGTTTTTTCGGTGGTGTTTTCCGATTTTCGCGACCTTTCAATGCTATAGAACTAATTTTCCCTTTTGGAGAACTGGAGACGAGGCGGGGCGCGAACCTGCACCGCGCGGAGGCGGAGGCCACCAAATTCCAAAGCCGAAGCCCGAAGGCGACGAAGCCAGTTGGAAGGGCGCGTTGCAGAAATCCCAAGTGTCCAGTTGGCTCGGTCGTCGTTTGGCTTTTAGTTTTAGTTTATTTTAATCATATAATAAACACTTTATAAGTTGTACCAAATACTTGCTCACATGAGGACTGTAACCCCAAGCCAAGCCAGCAAGATTGATCTTGTTCAGCTCAACTAGTGCCTGCAGTGATTCAACCTTTCTCAACACTTCCTCACTGGTTCCTGCGTCACAAACAACGGACTTTCTACGCCCTTCAATCCAATTCACGACAGCTTGCATCTTGTCAGAACAGAAGTCACCTAATTTCAAGAATAAGATATTGGTTAGCCTAGGAAATTAACAGCAACATACACGCAGAAAATGTTGGAAGCTCTTGTATCAACAATTCTGTAGTCATTTGATGCACAGAACTATGCTCATGGAAGGAGTAATACAAGACATTGATGGAACACCAAAGCTGTAGCTTGCCTGATAAAGTAGTGGGATGCGTCAGCTTGAACATTCTTTTTTGTGGATTTTATTATGCTGATGACACCACACCAGGAATTTATTAGCACAGCCGAATAAGAAATACATTACAATCAAAGATTTAACTTGTGTAACATATGGCTGCTTGAAATCATGTTTCTAATAATCGTTTTTTTTCAGTTTGTGTGCTTTCTCGAACATTTAGTAGTATGCATAGTCCAAGAAAAGGTAGTTCTAACTTCTCAGGGCAACTACTGGTCAAAGTCAGCATTGGTTTATGTGTGTTGTATTTGCATTACAGTAAAAAAAATTATGGCATCTTGTATGAAAAAAGCAGTTTCCAAAGCCCTTTTTGTTAGTCCTTAAAATCCTATTGCACAGTGTAGTGCAAATGAAGGAGTACTTGAACTTCAAGTTCCTATGCCATGCCAAGTTGGTTCACTGACCATAAGTTTAATAAAGCCAACCATCTTGCTGTCCAGCTTCCCTCAATGATTCAACGGAACAAGTAATTTGTACTGATACTGCTGAAGGTCTTTCATAGTCACTTAGGGAAGTCATTCTGAAGGCTGAAGGAAGGGCCATGCAGCGTCGCAAACCAGCCACATAACGCTCAATCATCATACAATAATTTTGAAACCTTACAAAAATGAAGTAACAGATGAGAGAATTATTGGCTTTGATTAAGACAGGCATCTTGTGCTTCAGAGCCATAGAGTGAAGCTTTATAAAGCAAGTGGAAGATGATCCCAGGCTTTCCGGCTACAAATTGCAAGAAACAACCAAAGTGAATGGCACAACACAAAGGAAAGTAGAAGCTTGAACACAGAGATACTGCCTGGAAGCAAAAGCACTGCTTCAGGGCAGCCATGTTAAAACACTAAGCTAAGAACAAGGTGACAAGGATCCTCTGGACGAATCCTACTACTCGGATCACTTCAGTACACCTCCTTGTTCACACCATTGAAGTACGGGTGCTCCAGGGCCTTCTTCGCAGAGACCCGCTTCGCCGGCTCATATGCCAGCATTTTCTGCAGCAACCACAGCAGGTTAAGTTAGAATGCAATCCTCACAATCTCTAATCTCTTCTTTCCCTCTCTTCTGCGATGTTTAGTCAATTTGCACAGGGCGTAACTTTTCACTAACCTCAAGCAAATCATAGCCATCGGCATCAAGACCAGGGACAAGTGTGGACAGCTTAGTGGGCTTCCACTGGGGGTACACGTGCCAGTTGGGCAGCTTGCCTACTCCTGGCCACATCTGCTCATTTGGGGTGCCCAGCAACCTTTCATCCAAAGAACAAGATGGATAAGCCATCAGCATCAGACACTCACCAAGAATTTCAGAAAGCAAACAATCAACTAATGCACTGGAGGTATTACTTGAAGATGTGGAGGAGCTGCTGCAACTCAGAATCGCCAGGGAAAAGTGGCTGGTTAGTGACCAACTCAGCTGACATTTACAACCAAGTTAGAAACTGTATGTGTTGGTTTGAATTCTCAAGCAGTTTGCATTGACAAGAATCTCTGAGCTCATCGAAATGGTACCAAATATGCAGCCCACGGACCAAATGTCAACCGGCGTGGAGTAGTGAGTGGCGCCAAGAAGAACCTCAGGCGCCCTGTACCACAGCGTCAGAATCTGCAGAAACAGTTCAGACCGCTATTAATCAGACCCAAGAGTAATGAACATCCATGCGGATGATAAACACCAGTGGGAATCAGACCTCGTGTGTGTACTTCTTCATAGGGACGGTGATGGCACGGCTGAGTCCGAGGTCAGCGATCTTGAGCGCCATGGTCTTGCGGTCCATGAGCAGGTTGTGGGGTTTGAGATCACGGTGCAGCACCCCGCGGCCGTGGACGAAAGCCACGCCCTTGCACAGCTGGTACATCAGGATCTACGGACGCACAATCAATCGAATCAGGCAGGCGTGGGTAATACATTCACACAAACACCTCGCGTGCACAGGGTATGGTTGGGCCATTGGGGAGGGTACAGAAAAGAGAAAAAAATCACCTTGACGGTTTGTGCGGGGATCTTCTCGTGGTTGGCGCGGTAGCCCCGGATGAACTTCTTGAGGTCGGTGTCCATGTACTCGAAGACGAGGTACAGGATGGTCTGCCCCTCCTTGTTGACGCCCTGCTTGAGGTCGAGCAGGCGCACCACGTGCGGGTCCTGCGACAGCATCCGCAGCAGCGAGACCTCCCGCAGAGCGGTGGGGGGCACGCCCTCGTCGTCCTCGGGGAGCCGCGTCTTCTTGAGCGCCACGATCAGGCCCGTCGCCTTCTCCCGGGCCTTGTACACCTTCCCGTACGTGCCCTCCCCGACTTTCTCCAGCTTCTCGTACAGGTCCATGGCGCGCAGGCCGCCGCCCGTCGTCGTCGACGGCGCCGTCGGAGTCGGCTTGTGTTGGATCGTCGCCATCCCACCGCGGATCCGGTCTTCTCCCTCGAGCGAGAGGCGGACTTGGGCGTGGTAGAGGTGGCGGGCTGGTGGTTGTGGATGGATCTGGAAACTGGATTGCGGGAGTACAGGGTGGTGGGAGCGTGGGGGAAGAGAGGTGACCGTTGCGATTTCAAATCTCGCTTGTGTCCGTTTATATATGCAAAATGAAAAAAAAAAAATCTTTGTGCCGTGCTTGTGTATGTGGTCTTGAGCTCAGGTGACGCCTTTCGGCCTTTGAGTCCTTTCATACAAGTGTTGGGCCCAACGGGGAAGCTCAAAGTAGCCCAGCCGAGCGAAGGGCCGTAGAGGAGCTAGGATTCCTGGGCCGGATTCCAGTTTTCTATGCTCGAAAGCCTGCAGAGCAATGCTGCTTCGACTGGAGTAGGATCCGTAACCCCCGGCGTACGGATCTCTGAGATATGTGGTGCAAACCCAAACGAAAAAAAATCATCAGAATAACTAGCGTACGGACGTCTACATCCGGACATAGCTCCGCTGCACCTGTCTCGACCCCCGAGTAATAGACCATCTGTCTCGTCTGAAAGGTCCTACAAAACTCTACAAGATTATTAGAGCAATGTGTTAAGAACATTAAATGGCGAAATACAATTTTACTCTATAAGGGTTGCAAGCTATCTACTCAATAATTCTAGTTGTTACAATCTCTAGGTACACAAGAGGCTAAGTCACTACTCACTATAAAAGCTCTCAACAAAGCTACGCTAAAGAGCTTCACTGGATAAAACTAAGTTAGTAAGTGTTGGTATTTCTTAGCATCACTCTTTACTAAGTTGTCATCCCTAGCAATGGTGCCAGAAATACGTTGTTGATAATTATTGAGAACACTTGTAAATTTATATATATATATATATTAAGTATCCGTAAGCGCACAGATAATATACCATTGTAGTATTTCACCCGGAAGTATGCCAGATATCGTTATTTATATTTTATCCACAGGAAGGAGCGATGGGGTGGCAAGAGATATTGATAAATATGCATACTTATGACAAGATCATTAACTTTCATGCAATAGCAAGGGTAAGTCAAATGATAAATAAATGATAAGTGTAAGACATTAATAGTAATCCAGATATAGAAATAGATACTCATAAATGTGGAATGGTTAAGCAGGAGATTAACTAAGAGCAAAAGATTCCTCGATCATTTCTTATTTAATAAGTGTTTTGTACACCCAAGTATATACACTCTCGTCTATAGCATAATTAACTTTGTATCTATGCATATGGAACATTACTAAGAAAGATCAAGAATGAGCTTGACTCCCTTCGTAACTAGGTTTTATTTGTTCTACAAACGGGGAGTGGACTACAAAGGACTCAACGAGAGTGTCACACTCGCGATCTACCACATGACCCAGAGTGTAGAGTGCATCCGTAGGTAAACAATATTTAAGCACCACGCTTACATAATATCAACCACTTAACTCACTCGAGTATTGAGCTAAGCGCTTTACGAACATATGCATAAGTTCATCATTAATCATGACTATATCAAGCATATAACCAGAGCAAACTAGGAACATAATAAATAGAAACATAGTATTGAAGTAGCACAAAGTCATAAATATAGAGGGATACAATGGCTTTACCAGCCTCCAAACGGTGAATCCGGAATCCTGAGTAATAGCCCAAACTCTACTTAAATCTTGCAAGCTAGCCTATACTAGAACTTTAAAGAATTGGAGCTCTATTCTCTTCTCTCTAGAAACCTTAATTTCTGATCTGATCTTGACTTATGATCGATTGCTTCAGGGGGGCAGAGGCTGGTATATATAGGCCAGAGCATCAATTCTGGACCCTCAGATCAAACCGGCTTGAATAAACGGCATAGATGTAATCTAGGAGGCAGTGGAGGAACAGACATCGAAGCGGAGGCTGACATGTGGGCCCAGGGGGCCGGTCGGCCTGTAGGTGGGATTGTCTCGTGCCCTGCTTCGGTGGAGTGCCTTCTGGTGTCTTCTGGAACCTTCTGATTATATTTTCGTCGTGGATAATTGCGATTTAATTTGACGATTTGATTCACCTTGACAGTTTTGTGAATAAACCCTGCTGAAAACATAGATTCACCAAAACTCATGGAAATTATCAATTTAAACCCCTAAGTCTATGTTGGTGATCATTTTCATGCATGATTTCAAGTTATATTAACGATTTATGATGGATGGTAACTACCGTCAATAGCAAGCAAGCTCTCAAATCTAGCTACACTAAAGAGCTCGCTACACAACTAGTTTGCAAGAAAGTAAGGGAGTGAGTAGGGTGATTATGCCACCATGTAGAGGAATGAACTTATCGGTGCAGAAAGTGACCAACACGTAAATATTTGTAGTTTTACCGTACGTTGTGATCGGAGGTGGCTTAGCACTCAATGACACAGGGTTTATACTGGTTCAGGCAACGTGTCCTACGTCTAGTTTGAGTCGGTCGGTGACTTTATTCCTGAGTCCAGGTGCTCAAAGTTTGCAGTGGGGTTACAAACAAGAAGGAGAAAGATGGGGGGTACAAGAGGTCCGGTCGGACTCTGGTCAGAGGGACCGAGAGTGACGGGAACCCCGTTATGCGCTATGTGTTTGAGCGTGTGCTCGAGGTTTGAACCTGGTGGTTATGTTGTTGTGTACTAGTGAACTTGATCGATCTGAATCAACCTAACTGTTGGAAGAGAGCGCATGCCTTTTATAGATGAAGGGGATGGCCTTACAAGTGAGAGGGAGAGAGTACGTTCGCTGCTAAGTCTTGCTGCCCACGCCGGCTGGCACAAGATGATGGTAGGCACCCACAATACTATCGAATGTCAGATGCACGTGGGAGGTTATGTCGTCTTCTTCAGATATGGCGTAGATGTCGGCACCTGCTATACTGTTGATGCCCAGAGGCATGTGATGGTTTTTACCGTGTTCGCCTGGTAAGGTAAATGTCGGCGCCCACAACACTGTTGATGCCCAGAGGCATATGGGGGGAGCCTTACCGTATTTGTCTGGTACGAGAGTTTGATGGCGCCCACAACACTATAGGGGAAATATCGGAGCCTACAACACTGCCTGTGTTCTATCATGTTAGGAGGGTCGTAGGGTACTGCCTGGTAGGTGCACAGGGTATGGTCCCTAGTATTACGGTTTGACTTGTGCACCCTGTCTTACTTTCTTCGTCCATTTCCTGGTCCTTACTGAGCGGGTGTCCCCGGTCGGTTGGTCCTAATTGGCTCTGATTGCACTAGCCGGAGAAGAGTTGTAAGCAGGGGTTCGACGCATTCCGGGTCGGAGAAGCGGGTCGGAGTCAGAAGTGGTGTTTGGCCAGGCCTTCCGGTCGGAGAGGCCGTCCGGAGGCGGGCTGGAGACCGAAGCGAGCGCTCCGGTCGGAGAGGTGGGCTGGAGTCAGAAGCGGGCGTCGTTCCTCCTTGGCTAGGCCTTCCGGTCGGAGATTAGATCGTCCTTCTAGCCTATCGTCTAGGTATTTGGGCCGGCCCATGAGTTGCACGTTGCTTGCAACGTTGTCTGTTGGGCCAAGCCTTTGTTGGGAAGCCGGTCCATGAGGGACCCCGGGTTTATGAACCCGACAGGAGCCCCCGAGCCCCCGGGTGATTCGGGTAGAATCGTCTAGGGGATTTTTGTCTTGACGACGGGTGCACACGAGCGCACCCACGGGTGTACCCCCGAGCCCCCAGGGATTCGGTTAGAATCGTCTGGGGGGTTTTTCATGTTGCCAGCGGGGGAGGTTTCATTTTTTAGCGGGTGTGCACGAGCGTACCCGTGGGTGTAGCCCCCGAGCCCCCGGTGATTCGCCGATCGATCGTGATGCAGGGGCGTGTATTTTTTGTCGTAGGGGCGTGTGTGTGTGTATTTTAGTCGAGTCAGTTAGTTTTAGGGAATGGGTAAGATGGAGCTCGTGGATCCTGGCATCGGTGAGTGCCGTGGGATCGGACGAGTCGGAGTTGTGGATCCTGGCGTTGGTGCAGCCCGTGCAGCCAAGGCAGTTTAGTTTTTAGGGATCAAGCGAGGCGGAGCTCGCGGATCCTGGCGTCGGTGCAGCCCATGAAGCCGAGGCAGTTAGTTTAGGGATCGGACGAGGCGGAGCTCGTGGATCCTAGCATCGGTGTAGCTCGCACAGCCGAGGCAGTTAGTTTAGGGATCGAATAAGACAGAGCTCGCGGATCCTGGCGTCGATTCGCGCCATGGGATCGAGCGAGTTGGAGTCATGGATCCTGGCATCGGTGTAGCCCGAGCAGCCAAGGCAGTTAGTTTTTGGTGTCTTGAGCCCCTGAGCCCCGTTTGGGCTTGGTAGGGGCCGGTTTTGAGTTTTGTGCGTTACCCCGTCCTCGATTTCTCACAACCGGAGGGGCTGAGTTTTGTCGCTTACCTCGAGCTCGCTAACGGATATGATCGAGTGGAATCCGGGTCCGTCATTCGTGATGGGGTCGGCATAGCCCTCTTGTGACATTCTACTACTCCTTTACCTTCAACCCGGCAGATGCCTGGGTCGTTCCGGAGACCGACCCAAGTGGCCCGCTGGCCTCCCTCGATGGAGATTCTATGGGTTTGGCGAGAGGTTTAGGATCAAATAAGAAGGTCGAGATGACCCTGTCCGCTTTAGGGTAGACTGGGCGAGGGCCGCACGGGGCTCATCTGCATTTTCTCCCCTGGCTCTATTTGATGCGAGGTAGCCTTGAGCCCTTCGTGGGCTAGCCTTCAAACCCCAGTCGGTCGTTGCTCATGTTGAATGAGGCAACTGCCGCTTCGTGACGCAACATGGAGTGTTGAGATGCATTTTGCCGCATGTGCGATGGCTTAGTTCTCGAGCCCCGGGGCTATTCGGGCCTGATTCATCCGGGGGGCGCGGGCGTATGGAATGAATGTATAAATGATTATATAAAGAAATAGCTAGGGTCGGTAATGTTACCTTGATGACTCAAGTGATGGGGTTTGAAGAGCTCCAATCGAAAATGTCTGACCGGGATCCATG